GATATCAGTAAAAACTACGTGAAATACTTACCTCTTTGGGCGATAATATGGAAATATAATCTTCATATATTAATCTTGCTTTTTCTTCTATAAGTTCAGGATTAGATTCCTTCTTTAAATCTTCACAAGCCAAGTAAAATAGCATATTTTCTTCACTGTATTCTGATCTAAGGAATTCCCTGAATACTCTTCTTCCTGCTGCAAAAGATTAAATTGTGTCACTGCAACTTAAAGGCTACTACAAATAACACCCACAGTTCGACTTGGGACTCAGGTAGGTAAATTAGTACATGATTAAAACAATTCCTTTCCGGAATTCAACCCTGTAGACATTCAGGCTATGTTGGAACCATTGTTTTGAAAGAGAAGAGTAGGGAAAGACGAAAAAGAAACGCGATAAAAGTTACTTAAAAATACATTTGAAACAAGCGTGGATTAACGCATAAACCAATTCTACTTGTTTCTTATACGACTCAAATAAAGTCGACACACCAAGGGATGAACCGAATAAATCACTCCATCAGCCACAAAAAAGAGCTTTAAACTGGACTTTCTTCAAATTTTGGTCGTCATGTGACCTACTTATCTGATCTACTGATCTGCCCCGGCTATATACAGCACAGAAAGTAAGCAGAAAATATCGGTTCTAATGTCAATTAATATAAAACCATATCAAATGGTATTAAACTATTTGAAACTATATGTTGGCATCTGGTTAGCTTTTGTGACCCAGAAAATTGACTTCAAATGCATCTTTAAAGTCCTTTTGCAAGCAAACGATATGCATACATTTAAGTAAGTGCTATTTTATATTCCCTGGACACAGAACTAATAAATGAATGAATAAATACATATACAAACGATCACACAGTTGCAAAAACTTTATCCATTATGGCACCTTTTTTGGGGTCTGACCAGCGGCACCAATCACAAATGCTCATTTAACCACCCAATTTTCGTGTCCCCATAAACGGGCAACGGATGCAATTAAAAGACCGTTTGGCTGACTGATGACATAGTTGAGTTTGGCGCGGTTAGCTTGAATCAAAACTCGCTTTAATGAGTCTGCTCACACGAAGTCTTGGGAATGACAAAGCAGGCACATATCAGGCCTGAAAGCTTGGTGTATTGCCTAGCTTAGAACTAGATCAAAAATACGCACGCATCATTTCCACTTTTATTATATTTGACATATAATAGTTCAGTGTAAAATATTAATCTAATTCAGACGTTTTGCTATTATCTTGTAAATGAAGATTTTTGGTTGAAAAGGCTCATTGAAAAGGCTTAATTGTTTTTGGATAAAGAATTAGTTTTGAGAAATAAAATGCTTTGGGCTTACTGTCATCTGTAAAACTACCTGGGTTTTGTTCAATTCTATTTTGTAAAATGTCATTTCGTCAGGTCACTTGATATAATGTCTACATGTACAAAATAATCAGCTTAGGCACACGTCAAAATGTTATGAAAATATAATAGTTTTTATGTTGAAGATTTGAAATAACGATAACAGCAAAACAGTTTGAAATTATATGCCAGCAATCCGCCATGAGAGGTGCGTGTACTCTCTGACCTTCGCTCAGCTTCAGCAAAACGCTTTAAAACCATTTTAAGATAGTCACAATATCATCATGAAAAGTGCCTCTTTGAAACTCAAATGTCTCCATAAAATCCAGAATCTTATTCATCCTTAACAATTACGAATATAAAATTATCAACTGCTTCATAAAATGGAAAAAAGGGGTTTCGTACTGCATTGTTTCCAGACGGACATAAAATCAATAGATTTGCAATTCCATACCATCTCTTGTTACCAAGGAAACAGAGTGCATTGTGGAATCAATGACAAAGGCATAACTCGTATAAATATTTTATCCCTTTAGTTAATATATTAGCTCCAATGCTCATTCTACTTCCGTTAAAAGACTAAAGCCACATACAATGAGAATAACCCAACTCCGCTAAAGCTAATCTTGATTTATTTGCTGTTCCATTATAATTCTCTTGAGTCGAAAAAAAGAATTAGGAAATTATGGCTATTTTGAAGGTTTTATTCACGCATGGCAGCGGTGAGAAAATTAAACATGCAGTGAAATCACTTTTACAAAAAAATTCAATCACGTGTTCAATAAAACCGTATGGTAATCACGGAGAGATGTTAGTTATGATTTTCTGGCATTCGACGGGTTAAAAATTTCTTTGGTTATTCTATTTCGTGACAAACATTTTGTCGTCATTCCTCGGATTTAGATTTTCTTTGCTGATATTATATTCCGTGACACGCATTTTGTCCGTTGAGTTTTACGAGTGATGTTTCTTTTGTAACCATTACATCCTTGGCTCTATCAATGTTGCGTGCCCACTACCAAGAGAATGCCATTTATTTGGTATACTTATATAATGGCACGGCATTGGTCAATTTGAGGTGGATAATGGATTCATTTTCTATAAATACCAATTTTTAACATGTCTTTTATGCTCAATTGTTTATTTGATACCAGGGGTAGATATCATTCTTAGCTTACACAAAAATTCATCCCAGAGAGAAGGTTAGACTGCCCTTTCGAAAATTACGCGCTTCTATCAAATAAATAAGTTAATTAGAGAGTAGTGCATATAGTTCGTTGCAATTGGATACACGGGTATGTGATTGTATGTTTTCCGTATGACGTAGAAAAAGCTTGTAATTGCCCCTGCAAATCATTAGCAAAACCAGCTAATTCTCTCTGTAGACAAATTGTAGATTTTAACAAGCTAAATTGTCAGTTTTGTGTGATTCCGCCTGAAAACATTCTATAAATAGGGAAGGGAATAATAACAAGCTTCAATTTTTAACCACTTGTGAAATTATGAGACCTTCAGTGATTATTAAAAATCAAGAACAACAGCATGTCTTGATATTTTCATCAGAACTTTTTCCATAAATATTGTCCCAAAATAGACATGTAACCTTTGGAGACCAATGTATATTTTCGGCTCAAACAAATGATACATATTTAAACACCAATTTAAGATAACGCTTTATTTTACTTTCTGTATTGCTTGAAGGATTGAGCCTATGGTTGATCTGGCGACTAGAAAAGCCTCCAAACAAATTCCATCCCCAAACATGCTATTATTACATCATTTGCCAGAATCGTGCAACTGGACATTAAAAAATACATCTATGGCTAACATATTTTCATGTATTATTAACCATCGAAACATGTGTAAATAGTGGCTTCATGGAAAACTGTACAAACAGATGCGCATTAAACATTGTTTCAGCGGACAACTTCCTCGAGTGGTCAGATTGCTATATGCTGGTCAGATTGCTATACTCCTACCTTGACTTTTCATTAGTTTGTCGAATGAGTCGTTCCAGGACCGAATTTCTTCTAACGTTGGTCTGGAATTTAAAGTGAACACATATTGAAATCTTACTGATCATTATTATGATTCATTTAAATAGCTGGAAAATAGAAAGTGGAGGGCATATATTAAAGGAATCTGCAATAGAACTGTTAACAGAATCATATGCATGAAATAAATGAACTGAACGAAATGTAAGTAATTTATTTAATCATAATATAAGAGAAATAAAATGCATTCCATGTGAAATCAAATGCTAACGAACAAGTACCCTGATGCGTTGTCTACTAATCGTCTAAGCGATGCCAGCTATAAATTAGATCAAATGCATTGCCAACTTAAGTGACACTGCCGCAAGGTCTTCCGGGGAAAAATAATAAGCTTTCAACATGGTAACATACAAAAAGCACATGGTCTGTAACCGAGTTACGTATTGGTTGTAATTCCAACCTGTCCTTTCCGACAGCTAATCCTGTTCGCGTTCTCACAATATTGAAGTCCTTAACACTTTTAAAGTAGCAATGCAGAATGGCTCACTTCAGAAAAAAAAACGTTATTCAATAAGTGGATTGGATGCATACATATACATATATGCATCAGGCCTTATAAGCAATATAATTTTTGTTTGTATGTATGTTTTTCTAACCCTCATCGGGACGGAATGACGTGGAACAAATGTTGATGAATGGATAAAAGCTACCAAGGCAAACAGATGAAGAACATTACTTAAATATGCAATTGTTAACCATAACAATTCACATAAATATCTGTTTGCGGGGAATGGCAAATTATTTTTTCATTATCAAAACAACACTAAAACTATAGCACAATCTGGTGCCCAGTGCAATTTTAAGCAGGCACCAAAGTCCCAATATCTTTAACAGGTTGTTTACAATTGATTTAAAGTCTATGTATAACATTTTTATGTTTACTGGTTCACAACTAGGATGTATGCTTCATGGTATATTGGTAACTGTCCACCTAATGTACCTGTCCACCTCGTATGTAGGACACAGCCCTGTGAGTCTCGTACAACAATATGGTTACCTTCGGACTTCCTCATGACTTAAGCTTTTTTTGTTTTTGTAAAAACAGTATTTAAATTTTCTAATCACATTGCCCTAGGTGAAATACATTGCCAGTAGCATAATAGTACCTCATGGTACGCTGTATCTATAGAATATCGCTGGAATAACTAATGGTGCCACCGTTGTTAAAGGTACAAGTAGAGTTGAGACACAGGCCAACATTATCGAATATGAATTGAATGGGTTTATATTTAATCAGTTAAAATAAACTCCCGCACACTAAACAGGCAATCACACATGTCTATTATAACGTATGAAACTGTTCCGATTGTCCGTATCTGGTTCCAACTTAAATGACACTAAGGTGGTAAAATTGATCAGCTGAAACGAGCCTATTAACTGCAATATATGCGTCAATCGTAACTATAGTAGGTCAATTGAGGTTTACCTGGATTATTATCTGATACCAATGAACATTCAACGGTATTCAAAACTAACATGGATTGTCTTTAAAAATGGAATTCAACGCTCCTTTGGGAAAGATTGGACTTGCAGACTGGTGCCTGATGAGACGTTTCTATAGTACATCCGCCCACACGCTCTTGGTTAAATATTCGCATTGACGTTGTAGCTGAGGGGACGTAACATTTGGGTACAGTAGTTTATTTGCCGAAAGGCGACTGTAGATGCTTAATCACATGTTACACAGAAGGGATGATTACGTGTGTGATTTGCATTTTTATCAAGGTTTCAAGACATGCTGTAACAACAAGCTCTCATAAAGACAACGGAAAAGTCAGAAATGTCAAGTGACTACATCCAGAACAAAGGCCATAGTTTATACGGAAAGCATTGCATATTCTAACTCCCAAAGGGCATTAGCCGCATTATATTTGATAAGCTCAAAGCTTAGTGGATAAACTTGTCAACGGAATTCACTGTATTTGCCGTACGTGCTGTCGAGAACATGGTTTGCTTACGTAACACTACTAGACCCGGCTACTAAAACAAGGGCAGAAGTGAGACAGAAACAATTTTCGTACTGTCCTATACATTCCATCCAGTCATACTGATATGATTTCACATTTTATCTCATGAAAGGGGAAAAATCTGTGCAATCAATTTGTCAGTGTATTTGTTGTTGATTGGGCAAAGGAATGTAGAACAGCAATGAAATCTGATAGTAATTGGATTAAATAAAACAGTTTTAAAATGCACTCTAAAGAGTGGACTTTTTATTTAAACCCACCAAATTCGTTAGCCCTTCATTCAACTGTCAGCATAATGAACAGATTAATGAACAATTTGATAGAGAGAACTAAAACGTTAATTGCATTCAAGCCGCCTACTTCCTGGAATTAGTCCTAAAATGGCCTTGTTAGGACTTGTTACGGGGCTTAATATGAAATTGGACTCTATATGAAAGGTTAATTTTCTCCATCCAATTATTGGCAAAGATGTTAAAATTACCTACAATAGTTTTGGATGGAGAAAAAGAAATCTTTATATAAAATACAACGTAATAGGTCCAGACGAACATTTTCTGGAATTTAACAAACTGCACAATTTAGAATGCAAGTAGAGGACAGGTGAGCCTAGTAATGTCCATATCCTACCTTTAGACGTTTCTTCTCCTCGTGAGCTTCAGAAATAGGACTTGATAATTTACGTCTCGTAAACTCATATCTTTGTCAATATATTTAGCTACAGTGTATTCCTAATAAACACTGATAATTTCAGAAGCTGGTTATGAGGGTTTACTCCTCATTTCCTTGACATACGATATCTTCTCTTGGGATATTAGAAAAGTGTGTCTTAAATATCACGGGGTAACAAATTTATATTTTTTCATGCTTTTTTTTCGGAAAAAAATAAAAAGAGGTCATCTGGCAAACCTTCTTATGATGTGAAGTCTTGATATACTGCATAATTTGTTCCAAACTTTGGATTAAATACTGACAAACATGTAAAACAGATCATTTTCAAGCGCTCTCTATGTCGTACTAATGAAATCTTTTAAAATGTTAACAGGCACATAAAATGTTCATCCAAAAGCAATCATATTTAATGTTGCATACTCGCATTGCATTAAGAAGAAATATACACAAATAGTCCTAGATACGCAAACCATGGCTATTTACTTCCGTTACTCGCCATATAACATTTTGTTTAATAGTAGGACCTACAGAGTTAAACAAAGAAAGAGAATATTAGTCATGGTTTTTGTACAATAATTCCTTAATTCAGACATGATTATTCTTACTCTTCTTCTCATTATTATGAGAAGAACAAGAAGAAAATGTAGGTGTTAGCCAAGTATAGGCCTACTTACGGTTCGTCTGATTCATTTATACTGCCTAGTCTGTGCTCCCTTCCCTGGGTCCTGCTCTCTTCACTGTTTCTCACAGTAAGACTGAAAAGAAAGGACATAGTATCAAGACACGCTTGTCCTTGATTTGATGATCAACAGAGCAGCCACATATCATGCTGAAGGCAATGCAGCCATGTGAAATCGATAAAGGAAAGGTATATAAAATGCCATCAGCCCAGCTGTGTGTCGTCACAGCGATAAGAAACAAAAGTATCGATCTCTGCCTCCGTGTAAATCGGTTAATGACACTGCTTGTCCTTTCCTGCATGCAAAAACTTAGTATATACTATATATATATGGACTAGTTTGAATGTCACGACTCTATAGATGTGTGAATACTATACATTAACGGGAATTGGTATATAATGATGGCTTAGTGTACGTGGCCATGAATTGTTCTAGCAGTAGAAATATGGTGGTATTTGAAAACACACATGAGATACGTCAAACTCTGTGTTTAAAACGAAGCTACCACAGATAATGTTGAAGCAATGCCATGTGCAAAGATATTGGTTTAAAGAGATCGATTTCTTTGCACCGCTCAAAGAAACTTCAGTTGACAAACAATTATAACATTTTCTATAAGCGACTTTATGGTATTATGAACCTAAATACGCTATCTGAGAAACACAAACACGCGTTTTTCTTTTAAGCAGCTTTGAAAATGTATACATTATAATTCTATTCTATAAGTTAACTTTTGAAGCTTCACCTTTTCATGTACAAATGGCAAGGCTATGTTTTGTATCGCTAATATTATTTGATACTCAATGTCTTCTTAATCGTTGGTTTGGTTTATAACCATACAATGATACCCAAGATACAATATACTGTATATTCAATCTATTGCTATATTTCCTGTTTCAATAAATCCATTCGTGTTGTTTCAATGTATACTTGCATGACCTCATAATTGTAGGCATGCAACATCACCCACGTTTCATATCAGAGTCAAATAGTAATTTCCACATGCGTTACACAGGCTGAGTAACATGTTTCCAAAAGTGCTTATGTTCTTATATTCACCAATCAATGGTGGCTCCCAAGGCGTCGGATACGCGGTTACCGACTTTCGTATCTTTTAATAAATGCGTACTGCATAACACCTGGTGAAACATTATCATTAACGCTGAATAACGGTATCTAGGCTGACGGCTCATATTACTCTGTGTAATTTGTACAGATGTAAAGAGAAAAGGTTATAAAAGTCATTTTTGATGCTGTTGTCGTTATGTGTTTAAACTACCTGGAAATGGATATTATCTCCGTCTACAGTTTCATAACATTTCCTCCTTGAATACATTATTTATGCTGGTACATTTGAACTTCATCATTCATGTTTATTTTTGGTACTAAAATCGTTGGCGCCTGGATGTTTATCCTGTGGGTTTACAGTTATCCACCGTAAGGTTCAGATGATACTGGAAAAGGCAGAGGCATGCTGATAATACGGAGGTGAGTTTTCAGAGGTCAATGAAACTCAGGGCGTAGAGCCCATGCAGCAGACATAATCGGATAGGGGCAACTCGTTAGTGCGCTGAACATACGCTCCCAGGACAAAACAACGGTATATCTCAAAGGAGCGTTAAAAGAGGTGCGCTGTCCCATACTCATTAACTCCTACCCATTGCTGACTAAAGAAAACAAACGAAGTATTCCCCTTTGAACCACAGTTGCATTAAGAGTACACGCACGCTGCATATGATGGACCTAGAAATGTGTGTTTCTAATCATCGTTCAGCGCTAGCATTTATGTGGGCATGAATGTATCTATTACCATTGGTTTTTAGTGTGAATTACCTATGTTCCCCCACATCTATCTCATGGTGGTTCCGACTGGTTAAGATGTGGTCTAGATTGTCTGTTTGATTTGTGTGAAGATGTATAGCAACGCTGGGCCAAGGTAAACTTATGGCGAAAGTTAATGCTGATAATCCATTGAGATACAGCAAACTGAAACCGAGCAAACTTCCGGAGAGGTTAATTACGTTGTCATTCAATTAAGAATGCCTACGGCACATGAAATTAAACTGCCTTTCGATATTTCTTCTTTTTTTTTTCGATAGAGACGGCTACGTTCTAACTTGCAAAACGACTTGGGTGCGATGTTCATTTGGCAGGCAAAGATGCGATTCTCATTTTGCTGTAACCAAATTACACGTTTATGCAATTATTGTCTTTGAGCAGGATAGAGCATTGTTGTACTACAAAGCTGTATATATTGCAAGTGGTGTGCTACCTCAATGGGCAAAATATATATAGCTGATCGTTTCTTCTGATTGATTATGAACCTAATGGTGAACGATGCGCACCTGTTGTAAATCTCTTGACTCCTACAGCACTGAACTCTAGGTCTGATCCTAACTGGGGAACTCTTGCCAATGTAACACTTAAAGCCACACATTTCTCCATGGTGATGTTAATTCATCGCGATTCATTCAACACCAGCGCTGAAATAACCAATTCATATCCGTGATTGTTGTTTTCATTGACAGCCTTCGATCAATAAAAGTTGTTTTTAGCAATTCGAGTTTCTAGTTTGTGTCAGTGTTTTTGTTATCACTACGGTCTTGACGCCTCACATCATTAAATTGGTCTATAGACCACAGACTGTATCTTTGCTTTGAACACAATAGAGCACCATACCATCGGCGTCAAAAGGCCGACCTGTTCTTAAAACAGCACAATTCTGTTACATAGACTGAACTTAAAATCACTGTCATCTACATTACTACCCCACAGGGGTTTGTTAAGGCCGTAAAAAACAAGAAATCACCGTAGGCCGTGCGACACACCAAACCCACTATAAGATTTTGACACTCAATACAGCTGCAGCACCACTGTGGAATGTGAAACACAACTCTATTGGGAGACAAAGAATGTGCTGTGTGATAAAACCACTACGGGATTTGAAACGACACCATAAAGGATTGTGAAACACAGTAGGAAACAGCCCCCCTATGAGCTGTAAAAGGCAAAACCCTACTTTGGGCTGTGAAGGGCACAATGCGAAGCAACACCAGTGTGGGAAGGACACAATGCGAAGCAACACCAGTGTGGGAAGGACACAATGCGGAGCAACACCACTATTAACTATAACATACAAAACAACAACACTAAGGGCTGTAAAGCACACCATCGATATGTTTTTTTTTCCACCAAACAAAACCACAGTTGCACCAAACACAACATCAAGATTGTTATAATCCTTTCTAACCAAACACCACCGAGGGTTTTCAATACACAAAATCGCTATGACTTTATGGCGTCAGACACAAGTATAGTTTATACAACGCGCACTGCCATGATACGTGGCTTAGAATACACCAAGGTTCTATTGGCTAGCATTGACCACGGATTGGTATGTTGACCACAAACCGTGATTACGAAGATCATACAGCCCACCCCAGTACCAATTTAATTTCATAACAACGTCACGAGAAATGATTACCGGCCCACGCTAAGTAATAAGCTACATCACGCAACACCACGGGTTCATACTAATATAAAAATATAACAATACCCAATAAAACTTGCTCCACACTTATACAGCCTACGCGCCACTCGACAATATTAAACCCTACTGGAATCCTGCTTTCATACAACTGTGTCCTCACATGTGTTTATGTTATTCTGAAAAGGTTTTATATAACCAGATGACTTCTTGATACAGAGTATTCAATTATTTCAAATCTGTTGATCACAAATCAAATCTCACTAGAAGAGAAGACTAATGGTATTTCGGAATTTTCCGTCTTTAACTTTTGACTTGTACAGAATATAGATTATAGAATTAATTGATGCGTTTCATTTACCAAAGTACCTCGCCACATTGTATGTGGTTTATGGAGAGTGCTCGACTCATGTTGACAGTAATATATTCTCATGTAGCGGGTAAAAGGGCAAAATACCGCATGTGACGTGATATAACTATACTAATAACATATTACTGCTGCGTATGAAAACCCCCTTTCGTTGTATAGTATTTCCAATTAGACCTCATCAAATGGATGCAGGTGTAATATATAGCTACATGACTGACGAAATGTAGAGTGAATGGAACTAACACCGGGCCCTAAAGTATTTTTTCATACGTTTTAGACATTGCCTTTCCCTTGATAATCTAAATGTGGTTCCAGTTAAGTACTGTCCCTGATTCGAGCAGCAAAAAAGAAAAAAAAAATCGCTGTTTTGAAGCAAAAAAGGTTTTTCTACCACAGGTAACAGGATACAGGTCTTTTGTATGTAATGGAAAAATGTGTTATGGATGGCAATTAAGGCAGATTAATGATGCAGCCACTTGGCGTATATGTACGTTTTATTTCCAAACACCTCTATAGTGCAATAAAATGATGGCCACATTTGGTCGCATGATTTTTTTTTTTGCTTTCATGTTGAAATTTGGGGTTCGTTTTAACCAAACATATATGGATCTATTCTCTGTGCATATTAGGCAAGGTTGAACATGCACAATCAAAAGTGCCATTGACTTAATTAATGCCTTGAACTCTTAAAATGTTCAAAATAAGCACTAAAGAGTGTGTATCTGAATATATATATATATATATATATATATACCATCATTATCACATAATCTCGTCAGAATAGACACCCTATACACTCAAGTATGCCAAAATCACAATGACAAGTAAGTTCTATCTGGGCGGCCACAAGGACGTCTCACGTTGCATGTTATGTGAACAATGAGCTTTATCAACATAATTAATACAGATCGCCAGATACCAATACCAATCAATATAATTGCTAAGGGAACAAATTCGTGGAACTGGCCAAATTACAACCTGCTTAAACCAGCCATTCAATTCAGTTCGTATAATGCGAGATCTATATCTTCATGTATATATGCATCACCTGCCAATTCTGAGAATCTGCGAAGCAAATGGACCAACGCCATTTTGTTTTAATAAATATCACTTACCTATTGAAGATGGACAAAACTTTTTGTTTCAGCATGTCCTGCCGTATTGAAAATCTCTTTCGAACGATGCAGAGTGCCTTCATTAAGACAACATATCCTGTGTTTTTTCTCTCGTTGTTTGGCTTTGAAGAATCAGAAAAAACTGGTTTTTATCTGTAGTTTATATATACATATACACATATACACACACACAAGCTTATGTATCCGATCTATATGGGAAATGTACTGTCATAGGTTGTTCTACATTCGTCTTTTAGAAAAACCGACGACTATATCCTTTACCATGATGAATAAACGAGTTTAGTTATTGTCACGCAGGTAGTTCAGTATTGAATTCCAGTCAATCCTCGGAAACACCAACGTAAGATGGCGTGTGACGTTCCAGGTCGCTCTTTTTTTAGATGGAGCATACATTTGCAAGTGATTTGCTGCTGCGACAGGTCGCCATGACGCATTGACGTATAAGTCTAGGTAAAATAATCAACCCTTGTCCTTCGCTTCCAAAGCTAGGTAGGTTATTTCTTCCAATATTCACCCAACACCTTCGGTTTGAAACAAATGGTTAGATACGCTATTCCCTCTACATAAGCCCGCGTACTGCGGCAGCGCTTCGCCAAACTGCTCTGATAAATTTCTCAGAAAAGCTATGCACTGAATCGATTCAGACTTAACTGTGCGAGTTGTCGGTCGATATTCACATTAGCTTTGCAATGAATACAAGGAATATGGATCTCCAATATAAGTCGATTCAATTTAAACTCTGGATCAAGGAAGTCATGAAAATGAATAAGATAAATTCGTCTTTTTCTCTCTTCTCTGAAACTGGCAAGTGAAAGACCCTGTCTGACGTTTGGATCCCTTCGATTAATTACATTACGTTTTTCTAACAAGTGTCTTGCACTTAGTCCTTCCGGAGCTTAGATCGGTACTGCTGAGACAGCAGTAAAGCAGAACACAAAACAGGTTCTATTTTAATATCGGAAGTACTTTCGAAGCCTACGCTGTTATCTGACGGTTAGAAATCGAGGGCAGCAACAGAGTTCAGGTGATCGTATGAGGAAGCGCCGGTATATTATACACTCCCACAAACAGTCCATGCGGGTGGTACATTAGATGAGGGCTCATATCATTATATTGTGTGTTGTAACGTATTTTTACTGTGGAAAGATGGTAAATTTGTAAGCTTAAGTATACCCAGGTTGCCCGCTTGCTTTACTTGTGGTATTCACATCGACTCTTACGAAGGCTGCAAGAAGTGCAAACCAGACTAGGGAAACGGATGTTTCACTTATCATTCATGGTATCAAGTAAAAGAGCATTCCCGACGCTACCCTATCAATGACAAAGGCAATTTCGAGGCAACAGAGGAAGCACATTCGAACTGCTGCAGTTCAAACCCAGGCATGGGGCTAGATAAGTTCTCTCATGTTTGCTGCGGCGTGTGGATATAGCAAAAGAGTATCTGCACAGCCATGCACTTGGCCAACACACGAAATGGCAAACCAAAATATTTATAAATGGAAATATCGCCAATTACGGAAGAAATACCCCTCAACCCTTTACATGATAAAAATATATATACAAATACATTTTGAAAAGGTGTTGTGGTGAAAAATAAATAATAAACCGGCTATATGGAATCTGACACACAAACTCACACGTAAAATTCGGTGAAGGTTTGTCGGAAACTGTTTTTTAGAATTGGTGCATTGTTTAATTTTTACTCCAATTTTTCATCACCACGACAAACACCTTCTTTATTTTATTTAATAAAAGAAATCAATAAAGACCATCCTACCACCCCATAACCAAATAATAAGTGATGTGTGGGTATCCTCATAAATCGGCGTTTCTTAAAAAAAGATTACGGACGCGCTTAATAGGCCGGTATTTGGTATTTCCGCTCAGCAAGGACAACTAAGCAATACAGCGTGACCTGGGATATGATAGAATTTGGGGAAAAAGACGTTTTACTTTTTAAATTGTACGACACTGGTGAAAGGCGGCTTAACATAGTGGTGTATAGCCTACATTTTGACCACAATAATACCGTCGTGGCTGTTGAATGTTTTTCGACAGTTATAAAATATAAGATGACACAAACCCATCACGGCTAAGCGTGCTCTTAATGACTGCGCTAGAAACGGGTGCGCAAAAGTGAATACCTGTCAAAATGAATAGCACCTAACTACATAGTTTTGAGGTTTTAATTAAATTTCCATATATTTTCATTTCTCTCAAAATAGGCCACAAGAAGAACAGTCTAATTCAAGATTACATCTTTGTATTGTTGCCATTTGACTACAATGGTTGCTTCTCGCCACATCTTCCCAACAGAACGGACACCCAAAATAGTGCTGCCATTTTATAGTCACATCCAAAGAAACTGTCGTTACGAATCTGCCTACAACGGTTCTTGCTTTCCATCACATTAAATACAAAACGATTGACAGCACACATCCATTAAACGTAATAATCACGACGATGGTATATGTACTCAATCATCGAACGTCAGTCGGGATATCTTTAAAACAGTATACTCATTCAATTATGTTTCGTGCTTTAGGTGAGATGTGTATTTACTTCTCTGTTGCATTAATACAGTGTTAAATGTTTGATTGTTCTTCCTTTACATGTTTATCAATGTTGATGTGAATTTTTGTTGAAAATAACAAAAAAAAAAAAAAAAAAAAACATAGTGTCCCCAATTTTAATTTGATCAAAAACGTAGACTATTCACAATTATTCCAAATTCATAAATCAGCTTTTTATCTGTCTTGTCAATTTATCAACTAAAGCGTCATTTCCCCAAGTTTCTAAATATCTTTCATATCACGCTGTATGTTTGTCCAAATACTGACAGAGTGAATGCGTTCTCTATTTCCTTTTTATATAAAAAATCATCAACAAACTACCACAGGGGCGGATTTAGGGGGCTGTCAGGGGGGGTCCTACCCCCCCCCCTTTCGATTTCTGAAAACCCAATGTTCCCCTCTTGAATTTAGAATTTTGACTAGCTGAATCATAGTTCTAAACTGTAACAAATGGCACCGTACGCCCTCTAAAATACCGAAAAATTGGGAGATAAGGGGGGAGGGGAATGTCAGCTTCGCATCCGCGGACCCCCTTCAAATAAACCTTGATCCCTGCATCAGGTGTTCAATTATTTTAGTTCTCTTAATACCTTTGAAATTTTACCTGGACAAACAAATGACAAAACACCTGATGCATATATTTTGTTACACCAGGCCTTTGTTCGGTCAAAAATATACACGTGAACGAGAGTAAAAAGAGAAGTTTCCGTTTCTAGAGAGGTTTCCCCTTTAAATGCTGCAGAGAAGAAGCCATATAATACATCCTTTTCATCTCTTCTCTTTCAGGGTTTGCTATCATAAGTGGTCTAGGGTTACTGCTTAATTTCCAAATTTCATTATGAATCTCCTCTACAACAGTGTTTGAGGTAGACTGAAGGCCAATTTTCAACAAATAAAAGATTCGAAATCAGACAGGGTTTTGCCGTATAAATGAGCAGTATTTAGTATTTACAACACATACAATTTGACAAAACTTCAGCACCGTTGTACTCACCACGAACAGCTGCAACAGCAACACCAGCAAAAACAGCAGGACTTGGAACCCCGCTCCGTGGAGACTGGAGACGGCGGGGGACTACTGTCGTTAGAGATGGTGCTTGGGTTATTGTAGGTGCTGTTCATTACGCATTCCCCTGGTCTCTGTCCGGGTGAGAGAACTCGCACGCTCATCTGGAAAGAAATCTATATGATTATTTTTCTATTGCCGTTGCCTTTGAACATCTACTGTCAAACAATTTCGAAATGCTTTAGAGGCATAGGGACTACTTTTATTAATCAATTTTTATACGATATTAATCTAGTTTTGCTTTAAATCAGTATAATATGACTTAGTTGTAATATGTTAACAGACTTTTTTTCACTTCATACTGTTATAAACAATACATGGAGATTGAAGATCGCCAAGGGCGGTTCTTAAAGGCGAGAGACTGTGATGAAATTCGTTTGCCAAACAAAACAAATAACAGAATGGAATAAAATAATGTCAAGAAATTATTCATCAAAACAAATTAAGGTAAAGAGTTTTGAATGTGTAAATTTAACAATTGTCAAAAAGAAGATTTAGCTTCCATGGCGTATTTCACGCCAACACCCCCATGCATTTAATGCATAATAATAAAACACTATTTTCAAGAAGAGCTTGACAAAACGTACTTTCCCCCCTTCTACATCCCCATACAATGCGCGCGGCATTGGCAAAATAAAACCATTAAAAAGACCTTGCAGGACACAAAGACAAAAAAGACATCTCGAAGGAAAATGTCTAGTTTTCTGCCAATGTCATTTTTTAATGTATCACGTTGGTTAAGTGCCTTGGGACGGCTTCTGTCTATCAATATGATTGATGCATTTCTGGAATTCCGATCCTGAATCCCTGTTATATGCGTTAATAATGTTGTAAGAAAATCAATATTCTTAGTCTGTAAAGAGGCGAAGAGGCAGGCAGAGGAAAGTATGGGAAGACAACGTCAAAGAGTGGACAGACATGAGCTTTTTCCAGACCAAGGCATCGGTTACAACCGAAAAGAATGGTGAAGCTCAATGAGCACCACCTTCATGATTCCGTGAGAGAGAGAGAGAGAGAGAGAGAGAGAGAGAGAGATTATGGTTGACATTGAATGTATGTTAAGCATGCTGCTGAACCCGATTGCGAATTATGTTTACCCTACACATAACTAAGACGCGGTAGTGGACTTGCTCACCTAATAGAGCAACTCCAATTAGTTTTTTTGACTAATAAGAATCGTGTATTTCTTTATTTTTCCTAAATGCGAACCATCCCAAAGGAACTGACATCTCTAATGATGAGATAGCGTCCTTACCACACGACACCCTGTGAGCTTAGTTTTCAAATCATGAACTTTTATCGTTAAATAGCGTTTTTATCTTTCCATTTTATTTCAATCGATGAGTTTGTTTTGGTCTTGATTTTTTTATTCTGTCTCATTTTATTGCTGCGTTTTAAAAAGCAACTAAGCAATGATAACCGAATACTAGTTTTTTTATAACACAATGAGCAGTCACATGAAGTTTACGTCAAAATCTAAAAAAAAGACCCTGCAACTCAAGACTGGTGATACCTGAACTCTGGAAGATAAGTGGTGAGTATAGGGGTGTGTTAGAAAGGGTAGATCTCAAAGGACTGGTTGCGTGCCCAATGTCCTCCCTCCCCCCAATTAATGTACTAATGCATGAAGTAAGACATACATGTACACCTGATGCTGGTTACCTTGGCAATGTTGTATATATATATATATATATATATATATGAAACAAATGTAGGCCAAGGACAACGTGAGTAGAAATATGATGACAAAAACAATGTAGATTATGTAAGATTCTTTTAACGGCGTGGCACAATTTATGGTGCTCAATCAGCTTTACTCGTTATTTACTGCCACCGGCATCTTCGAGCTCGTGGCGTCAACGAGTTTAATTGCATTGTAGGGCACCTCTAACACAATTCTAGAAGCATTAAGTAAATCTTTCTCCAAGCGCACATTTAAATTAATAAATTTATTGAATACCGATCTCTTCAAGTAACCCTTAAAATATAAACAGGGGGTTTGCCAATGACTTAATAATTCAAATTAACAATCGAACTAACATATTAATGATTCTCTGATGACACACCAGTAACACACTTTATACCATTTTAGCACGTTTTAGGTTTTAGGTTAGCAAGGATCGTCAATCCAATCCAATCCAATACAATCCAATACAATACAATATATTTTATTTTATTTCATTTCGGGTATAAATTGAAAGGAAACATTAGCTTTGCAGCTATTCAGTGACTGGGTAAGGACAAACATTTCTACAAATAATGCAATATTTACACATGAAGTCTAGTAAGACAGTAAATGGAAAATCTTTCTACTAAAAATATACAAATACACATGAAATCTACTTAGATAGCAAAATAAAA